AAAAAAAAAAAAAAAAAGAAAAAGTGGGGCTCAGCACCTGTAGCTCAAGCAGCTAGGGTGCCAACCACATACACTAGAGCTGGCGGGTTCAAATCCAGCCGAGGCCTGCAAAACAACAACTACAAACAAAAAATGGGCAGGCATTGTGGCGGGTGCCTGTAGTCCCAGGAACTTGGGAGACTGAGGCAAGAGAATTGCTTAAACCCAAGGAGTTGGACGTTGCTGTATGCTGTGACACAAAGGCACTCTACCCAAGGTGAAAACTTGAGTCTCTGTCTCAAAAAAAAAAAAAAAAGAAAAGAAAAAGAAAAAGTGGGTAATTTTCTGGCTTCCATTAAAGATGTCCCGAGAGGCCTGGCACCTGTGGCTCAAGTGGCTAAGGCACCAGCCACATACCTATACCTAAGGTGGCGGGTTTGAATCCAGCCTAGGCCACCAAAACTATGACAACTACTACCAAAGAATAGCCGGGCGTTGTCCCGGGTGCCTGTGGTCTCAGCTACTTGGGAGGCTGAGGCAGGAGACTTGCTTGAGCCCATGAGTTGGAGGTTGCTATGAGCTGTGATGCCATGGCATTCTACCCAGGGGGATAGCTTGAGCTATCTCAAAAAAAGAAAAAAAAAAGGTGTCCTGAGAGAAATAAATGAATATGGAGAAGGTACTTTACCCGATGATATAATAAAGAATAAATTTAGGCTCAGCACCTGTGGCTTAAGCAGCTAAGGCGCCAGCCACATACACCTGAGCTGGCAGGTTTGAATCCAGCCTGGGCCCACCAAAGAATAATGACAGCTACAACCAAAAAATAGCCAGCCTTTGTGGCAGGTGCCTGTAATCCCAGCTACTTGGGAGGCGGAGGCAGGAGAATCACTTGAGCCCCGGAGCTGGATGTTGCTGTGAGCTGCAATGCCACAGCACTCTACCCAGGGTGATAGCTTGAGGCTCTGTCTCAGAAAAAAAAAAAAGAATAAATTTAATCTGTCCCTATTTTCTGACACATGCTACAAAAACTCTTGGAATGCCCTGATAAGAGTTCTTTGCTATGCTAATAAAGCAACTCAGGTGGCACTCAAAAAACTTCACAAGAGGGACGGATCCCCCCAAAAAACTAAGTATATGATTAGAGGGTTGGGATTTTTAGTTGCCTGACCCCCAGGAAGGGAAGAGGCTAGAGAATGAGTGGCCAATGACTTAATCAGTCATGTCTATGTGATGAAATCCCAATAAAAATTCTGGAAACTGGCTCGGCGCCTGTGGCTCAAGTGGCTAAGACACCAGTCACATACACCTAAGGTGGCAGGTTTGAATCCAGCCCGGGGTCCACCAAACAATGACAGCTGCAACCAAAAATAGCCGGGCGTTGTGGCAGGCGCCTGTGGTCCCAGCTACTTGGGAGGCTGAGGCAAGAGACTCGCTTGAGCCCAGGAGTTGGAGGTTGCT